ACCCCAAACCCAACATCCTCCCCCTCTTTGTTCTGTGCAAGTGGTTGGCTCTGAAATCTTTATCAGACGGGAGAAAACAGGCGGCTGCAATACGTGGGGAGATTATCAGTTAGTAAATATCCCTAGACTTTCGCCTATTGTTCTGCTGGTAGTCTTTGCAAGGGGGGAGAGCAAGCGAGAGAGGGAACAGGAGAGAAGGCAAGGTGGGAATCCACTTGCCCGGGGAGAGATCGGCGGTGTGGCTTGTCCCTGGGCAGGGTGGGATGTGAAGCCTGCGAGCCTCCTTGTCCTGCCCTCCGCCTCGGGTGAGCCAAAGGCAAGGAGCGTGAGCGCGTCCCTGAAATGGAGCCCGGCTTGGGGAGACAGAAATGAACCTGCCGCTCAGCAGTAAGTTCCTTCCCAGCCCTTCCCTCCCCTCCAGTGGGGCCAGCTGATCCTGGGGGTCTCCTGCTCCCCCTGCAAAGGGCAGAGAGAGCTGGGTCCCCCCGGGTGCAGGCAGGGTCGCTGCCAGGCCCTCCTGGCTCCCCCTGGAGAAGCCACCGAGTGTTATTTGGTTCCTCTGGTGACCTTCACTGCTCTTTGGTGGAAGAAACTCCTTGGTGAGGAAGGAAGGTTGCTTCTGGTCTCCCTTCCCCCTCGGCAGCAGCACCCTCTTCCCCAGGCTCCAGCCCAGTCCCCACCAGGAACAGCGCCTGCTCTTTTTTTTTTTTTTTTGATGGAAGAGGTCAAGAGTTCTGTTTATCTTGCTAAAAAAAATCCCTGGAATTCCTCCTGGCCCTTCCTTAAATATAACAAAGAGGCCGGGTTGCTCACCATGGGGAGAGCTGCTTTGACGTGCTGGCAGAGCAGCAGCACCTCTGCTTGGAGAGGAGAGGAGGCTCCGGAGAGCACCCGCAAAGCAGCTCCTTCCTCACGAGGGAAGGATCAGATTCCCAGTCCTGGTTTTTCCCTGGAGCTGGGAGCACAGAGCATGGGTCCTGTGTTTGGCAGATGCATCAGCCCCTGTCCCCACCCTGGTTAGAAGCCTGTAGGAATTGCGATGTGCTGTGGACACGGTGAAGATGCAGTGCCTCCTGCGAGGGCATGTTCTCGGACACTCGTGCATGGGTTGTCCCTCGAAAGCTACGCGAGGTCTCCCAGCTTGTACCCGAGCCGCCAGCGCCAAGGTCGACCATGCTGCAGGGTCAGGACATTCACTTAAGATGATGTAAAGACGCCTTTCTTGCAGCGTTTTGCAGGGGAGGACGCAAGGCTCCTCTCCCAGCCCTGAAGCGGCTGTCCTTCTGCATGGGCTTGGTCTCCGAAGGTTGTTCTGGGGCTGTTGGAAGCTGTATCCACCAGCTGGGCCGGGCGGTGCCAAAGCTGCCTGGCCGGTTGCGTTGTTGAGCCGTGCTAAGTCTTTGCTCCAAGTTACGCGGGTGGAAGTTGAGTGCTTGTCAGGATGGCAGGAGCAGAGATGGGTGAGGGGGATGTCGTTCCCAGTATCATCACTACCCGGCTGAAAAGCAGAGGGATACCCTGTCTCAGGGATGTCACCTGTCAGCCCCGGCCATTGCATGAAAACAAGGCTGCTTTTTGGTCCTGATCTCCAAATTTCCTGAGGATGGAGACCTCCCCTCCTCCCTGGAGCCCTAGTGCTCGGCTGGGCTGTCCCCGAGACAGCTCCAGAAGCAGGACTCTGGCTGTGAGCGTGGGCAGAGGAATCCAAGTCGATGTGTGCTGGTAAAGGGCACTGAGAGATCTCGGCGGGTAGCAGAAAGCCTGTGAAGGGAGCAGGATGGGTGAATGGGTGGAAGCGGCCCTGCCCCGCCAGCCTTCGGTAGGAGGGCTCAGCGTAAATACATTTCACTTTTCCAGACCTTGCAGCGGGAGGAGTTTTCTGATTCCTGGTCAAGTGCTTTGGCCTCATTAGTCAACCCCTGACTGCTTGTTCTGAGACCAAAGTCCATCCAGCCCAGTGTCTGGCTCGAGGCTGGCTGGTGGCACCTGCTTAGGGGAGCAGCCTGGCAAAGACCCAGCAGATCTCTTCCCTGCCGTCCCCCTCCGTGTCCCCATCGCCTGTAGCGAGCTTGGACGGTCCCTGGATGTGTTTTCTCCCTCCTGCAATTTGCTGGTGCTTAGCTCAATCAGATGTCGACAGCGGGGTGCGAAGAAGCTTTGTCTCGCACTTAAAACACCTGCAAAGCCACCGTCCCTTCCCACCCCTTGGTTTCCTCATACCCCAGGGCCAAACGCCCCAGGAGTCAGTCCCTCATTTCTGCGGGGACCTTGGTACCCTGTGGGGACGCCCGAAGGTGCGGGCTAATGCGGACGCACCCCCAGCCATTAGGCAAAGGCTGCGAAAACAGATACATGCTTTGTCCTGATGGAGAAAAGGTTGGTGGAGGCTTGTTCTGTGGGGCTGAGGACCAGGCTGTGCGTTTCCCCCAGGCAGGGAAACCCAGCGAAGAGCTCCTGTTCTGAGGCAGCGGCCCAGCTACACGTTTTGTGACTACCTGGGCCTTTCGGTTCCAGTTTCTCTTAGGGGATGTGCTTCAGCCGGGCAGCGCTCAATCAGATGTCGACAGCGGGGTGCGAAGAAGCTTTGTCTCGCACTTAAAACACCTGCAAAGCCACCGTCCCTTCCCACCCCTTGGTTTCCTCATACCCCAGGGCCAAACGCCCCAGGAGTCAGTCCCTCATTTCTGCGGGGACCTTGGTACCCTGTGGGGACGCCCGAAGGTGCGGGCTAATGCGGACGCACCCCCAGCCATTAGGCAAAGGCTGCGAAAACAGATACATGCTTTGTCCTGATGGAGAAAAGGTTGGTGGAGGCTTGTTCTGTGGGGCTGAGGACCAGGCTGTGCGTTTCCCCCAGGCAGGGAAACCCAGCGAAGAGCTCCTGTTCTGAGGCAGCGGCCCAGCTACACGTTTTGTGACTACCTGGGCCTTTCGGTTCCAGTTTCTCTTAGGGGATGTGCTTCAGCCGGGCAGCGGCACCTGGCTTGCTAGCAGGTTTTGACCAAACCCGTCTGAGCGTGCTTTGCCGGCGCAGATTCGGTGCGCTGGATTCTGGGGAGGTCTCGGGAGGGTAACGTGAGTTTAGCTGATCTTTTTGCTGTTATTTGAAGGACCATGCCGTCAGTCTCCTTAGCAAGCACAGGCTTTGGGAGTGGTATTGAGATCTTCTGTTTTAATGCTAGGATGGGAGGGAAGGACTTCCACGTAGGAGAAATGTTGAACTTCCACACGAGGCTACTGTTACCCACTTCGCCAGGAGCTGCCTGTTAATGCCTCAAATTCCCACTCATCCACATCCAGGATGCTCACTCACGTCTTCCTGGGAGATTTTCATGGGAAATTTGCAGATTCTTTCAGGTCATATTTTTCTCAGCATGACAGCTTCGGCGTGCGCTGTTCTGAAAAGTTTCTCTCACGTGTAAAATCTCGAGGACTGAGATTTTTCTGTGCACAGATTGTCTTGCGTCGATCTGCTCACAGCCTTTGTCAGCTCCTCTCTCATGTGTCTTGCGCTAAAGTTGGTGATCATTCTTTTAGTTTTCCTGTATTTTTTCACTACGATTCTTCACTTGCAGAATCTAGCTGTGGGAGGGTTTGGTTTTGCTAAAGAAACGTGTTCCGGGTGAAACGTTTCTTCTCGTTACAGTTTCTGCCTCCTCTTTGCAGCTTCTGCAGTGAGACTAGAGAAGCTGGAATAAGAGATCATTGCAATTCATCAGACTCAGATCTTTGCCTTCCACTTGCTCATGGCACGAGCTCACTTTTTTTTAGGGTGCATTAAAACATAAAAATAAGCTGCTGCAATGATGCCAACACTGACTATTCCCAGAGAGTTTGGAGCAGGCACTTAATCCTGTCATTATGGCTGAGTTCTGAGGAGACTGATGTTAAAACTTCACCGGTGTGGTCGCCAGTGTGACCAGTCCTTCAGCGCTGTAGGCAGTGTCATACAAACACCTGAGTTCAGAGAACACAAAACCCGTGTTCTGCTCCATCCGAGGTGAGCCCTGAGCCTGTTCAAGCCTTGCCAGCACACCAACTTTCGCACCCACGCGTGTATTTTTTCTTTAGTAGAATTATTCATATTATTTCCTTTGGTCAAATCACTCATTTCTAGTCATTCTCTGGGTATGCTGGGTGAGATTCAACCATGTTGCTTTGCTTGACACACTTTACTTTTTGCTCTTAGCCTCCAAAAATGTTTTGGTTCTAGTTAAAGCCCTCAGCCGAGCGCTGGCATTGCTGTGCCGTGAGCTTACGGCTGGCTGGAGGCCTAAGCAGCTGCAGAAGGGGAGGTGGATTTGCATGCCCCTCCACACACCAAGCGTTTCTTTTGATCGTGATAGAGCCACATCGACCCTAGTCATGGCACGGCTTTAGTATCCAGTTCCAAATAGAGGAGGAGAAAGGTAGGATCACATTTGAATGTCCCTTTTTGTTTATTTAAATTTAGAGATCAAAGTCTCCTCCTGGTTTCAATTTAAAAGAAACAAGCAAGTGCCCCCACCGAAGTCCTCACCGGTGATGCTGATGAGCTGGAGGTGTTCAGGGCATTCAGTTGTCTCTTCTTTCCTCTGGTTGTTCCCGTGCCTGTCTCTGCTCTCGTTGGAGAAGAGCACAGCAAGTCTCCTTGCGCGGTAGTACTCTTAACACGGTGACGAGCCTTCTTCGGTGCCTCTGGCCCAAGCTGGGTGTGGGCATCCTCGGGACATCTCTCTGCTGGGACTATAGAGGAGACTGGGCAACGCACCGAGCTGGGACCCCGAGCTTTCAGCTGACCAATGCTCTGTGGGATGAATCCCACCCTTGGCTTCTCAAGGCTCTGTCAGCGGCTGAGAGTCTGGTTTCTTGGCAGGGTGTTGTGGCCCACAGCTATGAGGAGCTCTGGCATCATGGAGTGGGTCGTCGTTGCCACAAGAGCACATTGCCGGGCACTTTCCTTGGGCCATGCCCAGAATCAGTAAAATCAGGCAAAGTTCAGGTGCTTTCTCTCCAGCTCTGCATTGCCAGGCACAGGCTTCAGACCCTGCTGCTGGCTGTTGGACCTTTGCCCCCAGCTGTGCTTTCTTGGTCCATGCAGTTCCTTGGTGCCGCAGGAATATTGTCGTTGATGGATTTTCTATTTGAAGGGAAATACAAAGCTAACGCAAAAGCTGCCTGGGAATCCCTAAAGACATGCTTTCACTGCAGAGCATCCACGCGAGATACCTAGGTTTAGCAAATACCAGGAATGTTTGTGGGAATCTTCCCTGTTGGTCCCTCAGCCTGAGGACCTGGTCGCCCTTTGAGTTTTGGTTCTTTGAGCTTCGAGATGCTGGGCCTTTGCCTGCTTCCTTTGTCTCACCTCTTCTCGGAAGATGTACGGTACCAGACACCTGGTTTCGTAGCGTTGTGTGTCCCTTTATCAGCTGGCCAGCCAGGACCCTGCTGTGTCCTTGCTCTGTAGATACCACTTGGACAGACCGTGTCTGAAGCTGACAGCCGAGGCTGCTGACGTGAGAAGGGAAGCGCTGCTCTGGTTCTCGTGCTGGGGAACCCAGGAGGTGTCTGTGGGATGCTGAGGCCATTAAGGAACCTGGGAGGAGAAGTCGGCGCGGGGCAAGGTGGCCATTGCAAGGCGGACGGGGTGGCTGAGGGGACACGGCCGTGCTGAGGCCAGGCGGAAGAGGCAGGGAGGTATGGGTTCACGAAGATAACCAGGACTGGGATGGTTCAGGGGGAGAGGAGTGCTCTGTCTGTGCTGGACCTGGGCTTAGGACACGCAGCGCACGGCCCTACCTGCTGGTCTAACAGCTACGACTCTTTCTCTCTTTCAAGATCCTCACCTCCTCCGGACCATGACCCCCGAAAACATGTGCCACATACCTCCCCCTTCTCGCCTGGAGCACCCTCCGCCGCCGCCTCCGCCTCCACCACCCCACCTTCAGGGCCCCCCGCCGCCGCCCCCTCACCCGCACCAGCAGCAGCACAACCCTCACTACGCCAGCCTGCAGCGAGACATGTACATGAAGGCTGAGCCCCTGATGCCGCCGTACGGCATCGGGCAGGGCATGGCGCCTGCCGACCTCCACCATGCCCAGCAGTCGCAGATGCTGCACCAGCTACTCCAGCAACATGGAGCAGAGTAAGGCCTCGGGGAGCTGGGGCTTTTCAGTGTCATTTGTGTGATTTGGGGAAGGGGGGGCGAGGGAATGGGAGCTGGAGGATTGCAGAATGCATGAGCAAAATAACTGGGTTTAACTGCAAGTTAAGGAGCGTGCCCTGGTTCTGTGGGAGCCAGCTGGGGAGGTGTCGCGGGGCAGGGGTTTGCAGTGCGTGGCTTGGAGTTGGGTGGTGGGGACAGACAAGAGGAAAGCAAAGAGGTGGCTCAGAGCAGGGGTGGCACAGAGCTTGGCAGTCACGGGGTGGGTGGGCAGAGCCTTGCGGGAGAAGGCGGTGATGGTGCTGAAAGAGCCTGCGGCTCCCTGCACGAAGGTGTTGGTTTTTATGTGAGGTCCCAGCTTTTTCCCCGGTCGCGGGCCGTGGGGCTGTTACCTCCCCACCTCTTGCTTTCCTGCTCAGCCTTTGCTTTCCCGCGGGTCTCTGCAGCCTCCCGGTGCACCCCGCCAAGAAGCGGAAACACTCCGAGTCGCCCCCCAACACCCTCAATGCACAGATGCTCAACGGGCTGATAAAGCAGGAGCCAGGTATGGGGTCCGTGCCACTCAACCCTGACAGAGTCCAAACGCCTCCCTGGCACCAGCCGGGAGCGCTCTCACCAGGTATGTGGTTTTTGCGCCCCCC